CAAACGTTTCATCACCAAACGAGGTGACGTCATCAGTGCGTTGTTAGAGAGCATGTTGGTGCGTAGTGATGGGTTGGTGATTGTGCGTTGAGTAGTGTTGCGTGCGTGTTAATATACGTGTTGTTGTCCGGGCCTGACATTAGACCACGATTAGTTGTTCGGTCGTGAGGTTCCATCGGTTGCTCTGCTATCCTGTGTCCTGGTTCGTCACTCTCCACGTGTCCCTGATCATGACATCCCCTGCCCTGGTACTTTGGTTGATGCTTGAGTAGCCTCTGTTCTTGACCCTTCCGAGTTCCGGCTTGTGACGTTTATTGTTCTGACTCCAAGGCGTTCCTTGTTTGTTTGTTCGTGAATCCGATATTCGGTTCTCCTTGAGTATTTCGGTCGCGATTTTGGTCCCTTGCATGTAGTGGTGTGTAAATTGGATTAAGTCCAATGCATCAGTTGATCGAGTCCGCCATGGAGTACCATGATCCCAGAAATTACATTCCATGTTTCGTGTCTCCGTGCGCCCAAATATTTGCGTTTTCCAGATGCAGTTTGTAGCCTTCGTGGTCTTTGTGTATGGCTATCGGGGATAAGGGGTCAAACTTCTAACGGTGCGTTTGGTTTCTTTGTTCGTGTGCGTAACTTCCTCGCGGTATGGTCCCACTCAACATAGCAACCGATGGAACCTCCCGACCGAACACTAATCGTCAATCGAACGTCAGCCCCGGACGGGGTCGATCGATTGGTGATGAAACGTTTGCAATCAGCAGCTTAGCGAACAAACCAAAGACCCTTGCGCTGCCTGAGCTACCAACATTTTCCTCTGTAGGCTAGTATCAGCTTTTGGATATGCCTGCCACACTGTACTGCACCGATGGACCATCGAGAACAATAGGGAAACGCCGAACGCTGTTTCGTTGAGAAGCATGCATGTCAAACTTTGTGCATTGTACTCGCCGTAAGAACTGAGATCCGAGACGAAAGCGGTTCTAAGACAACCATGACGATCAATGGTGACCCATCATGGTTGAACAGTTGAGTCGCAACTACAAGACAAACGTAGTCTAGTGGCCTGCACCATCTACGAGACGTACAAGATGCATCCACCTAAGGTTGGCTAGCCGTTAGACAGTTTGGTCGGTACATTCGTGGTCACCTCTAGCATCGATGTGGATGTAACACCTGGGTTGTCCAGTGTCTTGAGGCAAGTCGTTCGTGCATACACGTATAAAACAAAAATAGATCCAAAAATACAGCACAGTTTAATAAAGTAGGACCTAGTACAACTCAGTACAGTGGAATATAGTGCAATACCACAAGTTGAATATGGGAGAACAGTGAAAACAAACAAAGTAGGCGGAAACTCAGATAAGAGTCAATCACTTGCAAAACTTGAAGTCTCTTATTGGCCTCGGCGGTGGTAATGACCCGGAGAACAACAAGGACCCTATATCAGCCTAGAGTAGACGCATGTCATGGACAACAGACAGCAACTGACGGCTCACGAAGCTTTTACGACCATCATAAGAATTTATACTGCGTGAAAAAAATCGAACTGTTTTCCACATTTGGGTTATGCAAAGCATATGTGCTCAGAATAACTTTGCAAACATCACATTTAGTCTGACCTACTTAAATTACTCTGTTCTGCAATTCTGACCAGAATGAGTAATATTCAGTACGTACCAGGCCAGAATTCTTTTCACGTGACCTCCAATTGTTTCGCTTGCATTGGCTTTTGCGCCTGGCTACAACACTGTTCTCAGCCCGGCTTTCTCTCAGCCTCAAACTTTTAAAAAGTGTGAAACAAAACAAAATATTTCCCTTCGATCACACTGTGACGGAGGCTAACGTGTGGAACTTACCAGCAATATCGAGAATCGATATTTCCCCAAAAACCGAACCTTCACCAAGGGTGACAAAAACCGTCTTCCCGTCTTCTGAAACCACACTCAGTTTGCCACGCTTGACAATGTACATTTCTTTTCCAATATCACCTTTACGACATATGTAGTCACCTGGAGAGAAGACTTGCAATTTGAGCTTCAGCACTAACTCCACCAGTAGACCGGGATCGCAATCCTTTTGGTGAAAAATGATGAAGCGGTTGTTAGATTTGTGGCCAATTTTGGGAAGGTAAATACCTGTGTACTTTAACTTAATTCCCAGTATACGGGTGGCATCATCAAAATGTGTTCGATACGACGTTGTAACTCATCCGTTTGTCGGAAAAATGCTTGAATAATCAAAAGTGGATTCCAGAAAACATGGCAAGTTTGTAGCATGAGCTGAGATGTTTCGTTCTCAGAAATGTTTTGTGAACATACGCCCAAATAGACAAAAACTACAAGACACGGCCGAATCCTACCGGATACAACAAAATTCATGTGTATAAAAAAGAGGTTTATTGATTTTTAAAGCAAAATACCTTTGCAAAGCAAAGGTATTTGGATGGTTGATATATGGACAGCTTTAAGTGCGTCATATGACTGTGTTCTTTTAAAAACCCTGATAATTTCAAGGACTATTAGTCTTTGAGAGGTTTCCTCACCCATCTGGAGTCTTTAAAAAGTAGAACGCTGTTGTCCGTATTTTACTCATCACCGGGGGAATGATCTATCCACGTGTACATCACTCATTGCTCCCATCAGCCGACTGGGTCGATGGATACCTCATTCGCTCCATCGTATGCCAGTTAACCTCGTCTGTCTGACCCGGACTAGGATTTCATTAGAAATATTGAAAAATTGGCTCTGGAATCAGTAAATCTAACCTCATTCCTTACTTGCGTCACACTCGGGCGCAAAGAAATACCTGAAATTGCGGTTTTATTGGATGGACACCAGATAACCATTCGTAGGCCAGCGGGCGGTGTCATAAATTACAATTGTACGCCTACCACACCAAGCCTGGTTTTAGTTAAAGCTCCTGATTGCATTCTCTCCCACCCTCTGTCTGAGACTTGGTTATCTGTATCGATAAATCAGTTTTTCCATTCGAACAGCTAGGTGTATGACTGGTTTTTTATTCCAACTTAAACTGCTAACCAAGCGGTTAAATGATCGGCTGCTCCAGCATAGTGAGACGCATTACTGGCTACAGCTACCAAGAGGTTCTCTCAGATTCTCAGGTGCAGCCAACTTTTAATCAGTTTCCTTTTCTCCGCATGTGTTGGTAGTAACTAATGATAGTGTAAGATGTTGGAAGTTTCACTTGAGATTTCATCCAGTACATGAAGCCAGCCCATGTTGAAAAGCTAAGCGTCTCATCAAACTTCTGAAGAGTTTAAACCCAAAACCTCCCGGCTAGTAGGCTTAACACTTAGCCAAACGGTGAACAGTTAGCTGCCACAAGCGGCTGATTAACTTGCACTTCAGATAGCATATCGTGCCGGCCACTCTTCAATCACGCAATCCACATCACGTGGTCACGTGCTGAGTAGCTTCTCGAGTGATGACTGCTCAAATGGAAGCTTCAATAATCTTTTGAATTCGTTGATCCTCTGAGCTACTTATTTGGGAATGTTGGCGATTCCTCCCATTAATATGACCCTAGAATGGCTAGCGCGTTGTTTAGGTTTTGAGCAGCAGGTAGGTGTTTAATTTCCATAAAAGTTGATTAAAGTACACTTAGGAAATCGAACTCTGTGCTTATTTTTCGGTGTGTTAACCGCCTACATGAAAATCGAAATATATTTTTATTTAACTGGTAGTTAGTCGTTAAAATTACCCGCGGAATGACTACTCGGGGGCACCTGCCTGAGACGAACTGAATCGGTTTACAGCAAGATTTGATCATACCCCATAGCCATCCTTCAGAATGCTGACTTTAGGTGAAGATCCTCGAAATTATGTATCAAATGAACGTAGGGTTGGTCGCATTAGAACCTGCAATGGACATGGGAATGCTATGGTGAAAAATGTACTGGATGAATTGAAAAAGCGACGATGCGATGACAATTGTTTAGGTACTATCCTACCCAGAAATAATCAGTAAAATGCCCACGGGGAAGAACTACACAACTTTTGTATCTTCGTCATCGAACCATTCCTTCCTGGATCACGTGTCATGAGCTAGGTGCTAGAAGGGTGGTTTATGTCACAGCCTGTTTGACCATAATTCATGCACGCCGCTACCCTGCCTGTCTTGGTCGAATAGTGTGTGGTATTCAACTGCTAATCGGAAGGCAGCAAGTTCGATTCAACCTAGACACCCGTCGCATGCGCAATGCTTATGATCCATCCCCAAGGGTAAACAATTTTGCACCACGAACTGACGTCGCTGACAGGATGAGATCCTAGTGGGACCATTTTGGTTGCGCTTCGACAGAAAGCTTTCTAACGGTCCAAGAGATGTTGGTCTTTGCTCAAGTCAAATCTGTCTCAAAAGATACAATCGACCACCTGAAGGTTTTGCACGAGGCATCTAATCGGCCGTATTTCTTGTTTAAGTTACCGAATTCAGTAAAAAAAAACAACAGATTGCACGAATGAACCAGCGAAAGCAAATCAATAAATGCTCATACATTGTAACAGTAAAAAAATCTGAAAACAGAACAGTCTCAAGGACAACTTGGTCCTTACCTTAAAAATGCTCACGCGTTGCAACGTATCAAAGTGCACGTGAATAGCAATCTCTGCCTTCAGCTTGTCTGGTAATGCATTCAATGTATCTTCTTCCAAAGACTGTTTGTTTGTCCACAGGTAGTCGAACCAGCGAATAACTCGCATCTCTAGCGCCTTGTTCACCTTACGGAATTCCATATATCTTTAAAAAGAACGTACAGGTAGGTTTATTTTAGCGAAAAAACGACCCCAGAAGCACTACAATCTAATATGTCATTGCGTTATCTCCTGTTTTCATCTTTTAACAAAGTAAGGACTTCAAAGCAGAAGAACATGTCAACATTAGATAGTCACATGAAAACCACTGAAGTTACCCCACGTCAGCCCGCAGGATCATCACCCAGCAAACCTAAAGGTGAAATTATATCTTATCCAAAAACAGCCAAATTCCTAGCAGGCCATTTTTCCAAAATATAAGATGTCCATCATTCTTCCTGGGGCAGCACACTACTTTTAAGATTACTGAAATTCATTTGACCTCTCACAGCCAACTACACCCTTCTTGGGGCTGACTAGGTGCACGCTACTTGAACCCGAATTGGACGCCACTTGTGAAATACACAAACTTGCGTAGCGTTTTGGTTTTAATGGGGAACTCAGCTGATTCCCAGCTGACTCGTTTATGTTTTTCTTGGACTGAACGGAAGGCAACCTCATGTTTCAGCTGGTACGATGTTCGAGAGCTCAAAGTACGTCTTCTCAACATAACAGATCATCACGTACAGTATGTAGTGTTAAAACATAAAGTTGATGGAAACTCAAGAGTCGTGCCTACCTGTTGCAAAAGAAGCCAAACCACTCGTGGGCTTTCAGCAATTTTACAAGTAGCGTCCCTCGCTACTGCGATATCCCGAAAATCGTACCAACTTAAACATCAGACGATCTTTTTGCCACGCACTCAGTTGAAGATATCACAAACGAGAGATTCAGCAAAGATTCAGCTGAGTCATTTGTTAAAATGAGAAGATAAGTGTAATTCGCTTCTGATATTTCTTTGAAATTGCGTATGATCTTGCAGACTTTTTTAAAGTGTTCCAATCTGGTTTTTCGTCATTACTTTTTCTGACCATCTCGCCACGTCGCGAATTTCCAGACTGCCCTGATGAGTCTGGAAGTTTGGGACACAAACCAGTTTATCAAATAACTCAACTTTGTGGTAAAAGGCCACAATCTTGCGAGCACGACTGTATGTGTTGGTATGTTTTTAAATCAATTAACGTGAATCATCCTGGTAGGCAGACTCGCTTCATATCCGTGAACATCGGTGCTCTCATTATGCGACCATTTGCCTCCGTCATCCACCTTCACTTTCCCATCCGTAACATCATTTCCTTGATCCTGAACGGACTTTTGCCAGGATATCTGAGTGGATTGGCAAGAGTAGAGTGACTTCCTTCACAGACGTTAGATTGCATGTGATCAAATGGCTCCGCAGAAGAGCGTGGAATTCGTGACTTAGCGAACAAGAAATGCTTTCTGCGACTGGCTAATATTTCACAGTTTCTAGAACAGACATAAACATGGTGAAATGCAGGATGCACAAGAAGCAGGTCTTCAGGTTGAGAGTATAGAAAGAGTCAGAAACGCTCTGAGTTGGATCAGCACAATTCTAAAATGTGCACGAGTTTCTGTTCATACGGAGGTCAAGTAACTCGTGCGAATGTAGTCAGTTCCTAACCTCATTGTTTGTTTCATTGGATTGATCCTTTTGACACGTTGACCTCTTGACCTCACTACCCGGTCTTTTGTGTATTTTATACTTCATAGCGCTTGTGCTTGTATGATCAATGTATTGGCCAAATGATTAAATTCAGGAAATATATCTCGTTTTCTCTAGGCCCTCTAGCATCTTTGTGGCTCAATTGGAGATTGTAACAAGGAATCACGTTTAACCGTTTGGCTCATTCGAAAGTGCCATCACTCAATTCATCTCGAGGGGTGATCTTGTAAATCTCATGATCAGTAAGTAACGCAATACACACAAACTTCGAAGCTAAAGCCCGTTGTTAAAACACATCTCGGTCCAACCATACCTTGGTCGACAATATTATTCTACCCTTTTTTAGCCGCAAATGATTGTCGTATGCTCATGTTTTAGATATTAAGTCCACGGCTTAGTGCATTTAATAAATGTATGTATGTATGTATGTATGTATGTATGTATGTATGTATGTATGTATGTATGTATGTATGTATGTATGTATGTATGTATGTATGTATGTATGTATGTATGTATGTATGTATGTATGTATGTATGTATGTATGTATGTATGTATGTATGTATGTATGTATGTATGTATGTATGTATGTATGTATGTATGTATGTATGTATGTATGTATGTATGTATGTATGTATGTATGTATGTATGTATGTATGTATGTATGTATGTATGTATGTATGTATGTATGTATGTATGTATGCATGCATAAAAGCTTGTTTCACACCGCGTTGGATTAAAACAGAAGTACTCAAACTAGAAAGCATTCGTTTCCGAAGAGGAATTCGGCATTTCGGAAGGAAAACGGATGGCTCGTTGTGTAGTACTATCAAAACTGTTGTAACGAAGAAACTTTCGAAGTGCCTTTGTCTATTTCCAATCATACTAGAGAGTAAACAGAGTATTATCCCTTCATGGAAAACCTCCATTCAAAAGTTATCTGGAGGCGGGCAAGTTACCAGATCAATTTTTCCTCAGTGAGAATTGTTTCCGCAAGCGAAATTCTATGATGATCGACACGGAACACGTCGCTTTCGTAGAATCACCCCAAAATGGAAACAAGCAATCGGTTTATGGGCAGTTGAGAGCATCGTCTGCCAACCTGACCTCGTTTTGCTTCTTGCATAAGACAAAGTGGGCGGAGGCCTGCTCGCTCAATACAGGTCATCAGTTTGTCACCGGATGTAACTTACGTTTTTTGTCAAGCACTTACTGTGGCAAACGGGGATTATTTAGCGGAACTGTTTGTCTCTTACCAAGAAGATCGCGGTCACATGTTTTGGAAGAAGAGTACAAAGTGCTAGAGATTTGACATACACAACTTTTTGAAGGACTTCCTTTTATGACGTTTAACTCAAAATAAGAAGCGAATTAAGGTTGGATTGCTTTGGATTCAAATTCCACTGCTCAGGAAGCATGGAGATAAGCCTGCAGCTGGTCTGACATGCAAAAGACACCTCATTTATTTAACATGATACACTATCTTTTCGCGGATTAGAGACGATATACTAATCTAAAGATCGTGGTTGAATTTGGATTGAAGTGTAACCTTAACCTGGCTGGAAAGGAATGTATTCTTTGACTTGTTTGAGTTTAGATTAGTTTTGGGCCTAAATTCGAACTCTAAACAATAAAAGTTGTTCTTATCACTCAGTAGTGTTTTCCATAAGAAGCAACAACTCAGTCAACATAATCAGCATACCCAGATCACTTATTTTTACCTAACTGTAAGCCTTAATTCGACAACGTTGACAATAAGGGATTCTGCCATTAATTTGGGATCTTTAATAACCCCAAGATTCAATGGTCCTACCAGAGTTCCTAAATGTCCGGAGGCTCATAACGGACTATTCTGGTTCCTTAGGTTTTATGTTGTGTGGCTCGGTCGCCATGGGATCCTCACGGTTCACCATGCACCGGACTAGCTGTGCATGGCTCACCGCTGTTGTTTTCACTCCAACTTACTCATGAGTAGTCAGCTGCGACGTCAATTTTCGTGCCATTCAGTGTAGTTTTGGTACAGTAATTTCAATCTGCCTCTGTTTTAATGAGCCATTTCGATCCTCATTTTTTGAAGCCCAGAAAAAGGCTGTGTCATCAGGATGAATGTTGGAGGACCTTTACCAGCTGAACGGTTTCGATATGTTTGTACTGTTGGTGAAATTTTGTACTGATAAGCACAGCGAGAAAGTTGTTGTGGCTGTTTGTTGAAAAATCACGTGACTCGAGACATCCTGGGCTAAACCCATGAGTTAAGTTAACATACAACAATTACCAACCGGAGAAAGACGATCTTCGCCAGGATTACGACACTAGAGAAGCAATCATGCTAGATCGAGTCAGTTTAAAGCAATACAAAAAGGTCCACGAATTGCAGAACTAACGGGACACGAAACGGACTACACTCTGAACACAAAGACGCAATTATATTTAACCACGGATAAGGGGACTGATTCTTTTAAGGGCGAATAATCTCAGAACAGTTTACGCCAGATCTGTGGGTATTTTGTTCACAAAGGATTTTCCGTGAGCACTGAGCAAGCATGGTCAGGACAGGTTAGCTTAGTTCCATCACCAGCCATTCAAGAAGTTGGAGCACCACTCGAGATGTTTCCTCAAGAAAATGCGCTGCCATTTCTCGAACATTGTACCAGCTGAAGGCGGCCTTTGTGCAGCACATTCAATTGAAGGATATTACAAACGAGAGATTCAGTCAGAATTTTTGTTCATAGCCACGCCACTCTTGTTTGAACGGCCGTGTTCCTGTTCTGGCATAATTATTCCGGTGAGTCCACACCAAGGCACTGGACTTGATCGTCACAACCAGGACAGTTACTGGATCGTCGTCCAATGAGCCGGGCACACCAATCACATCGCTCGAATGTGAACACGTTCGCCTGTTCGGATATGATAATTTAGATGCGTCCAACTTGCTTTGGTGGAATAGTGATCACACGCTCGCCTCGCATGTCAGATGTCCGGGGTTCAAATCTCGGTACGGATATTCGATATGCACTGCTGATGAGCTCTAATAAAAGCGAAACTCCTGTCCGGTGCCTCCTCTTGGTGTGGGCTCACCGGAATAATTACGCCAGAACAAGAACACGGCCGTTCAAACGAGAGTGGTGTGGCAATGAACAAACATACCTATCCCGCAAAACCCCAAAATTGCAACCAGTCAGAATTCACGTAAGTCTGCGAGCGAGATTAGTTCGCTAAACAGAACTTCTTGGGAGACATCCAAGGAACCAATACCAGTCCGACACTCGCAGCTCGAAAACTTACCGTTTAACGCCATCCATGCGGTTTTGAAATTCCGTTCTGGCTGCATTCATGTTTGTTATCATAGCACCCACATTACCGACAACAGTTGCGAATATCAGCACGCCGGCTAGAAAGTCGATTGTGATGAATATGTATTCGGCATTTTCCACCGGCTTTGGAGTCTCACCAATAGTGGTCAGTATCAGCGTTGACCAGTAAAAACTGTAGACATATTGTGAGAACAAACGATCCCAACGTGCACTATAGTTGTGCGGCAAATCTGAGATTTCCTCGTTAGGTCGTGGTGGATAGACAAAGGAATTCGCGCCCAAACCTGCCAAGTACGAATGAATAGTAGCAAATTTACACAGAGTTCGAGTTTGATAGTTGTGGACCAATACGGAACACGTTGCTAGAAATTTAAACTTTCAGTGGGGCTTGAACAGGATGAATACATATCCATCGCCTTGGCAACCAGAACCACTTTGACCGTGTCTCGTTTTAGGATAAAAGATAAATAAATAAATAAACTTCACACTTGGACACACTTGCGTCAAAAACGCTGATTTGCGGTTTGTGAGAGATTGCCGTGAACGACAGATGGGCTATACCCTGGTAAACTAAGCTTATATGTACGTGATGCACTACTCATAAGGTTGCTGGAAACTTTTCGACAACCAATTCACTTGCGTAGAACCATTATAGACGAGTATCAGCTGAGTTCCAGGTGAGTCTCCGGCAAAACGCAAGTGAGTGTATTTCGCCAGTTTCGTGCACTTTGTGTTCAAGTAGTACATAAGGCTGATGGAAACTCGGGGACTGTGTCTACCTGATGAGCCCCAAGAATGGCGAAACCAGTCGTGGGCTGTCGAAGAGTTTTCGGCGATTTAATGAGTAGTGCATAACGAAGACACATGTTTGGCGATAATTGGAATATGGTACCACCTGAAACACGAGACAGCCTAGTGCAACACATCCAGTTGTTTAGAAACTTTATAAACGAGAGATTCAGCTGGGTTCCAGGTGGGCCTCCCGCAAAAATTTATTGGTTTGCAAAAGAATGTATCTCTTTATCCTTATATACAATTGTGCGTGTCGTATGGACTGAACTATGCAAATCACTAATAAAAAAGCCTGCGTTGCTGTTACAATCAGCAGAGAAGTGAAGCAGTGTTAGCTCGTCTGTATTCATTTTTAAGCTGGGTGTATGGCGCATTAGTGGTTCATTTCAGACTTACGTCAACAAATCTGTCAGAAATAGGATGGGATTCAAGTTAAACTGACCGTCAGGGCGCTCGTGACTAGTGTCAGGGGCGAAATCTGGTTTTCACGTGGGACTGTCCAGATTTTTGCACATAGCTTTTGTACGGACTTTATCAAGAAACCTAAATATGTTGAGGGTCCAGCACCGAACGACGTGATTTACTAAATCGTTCTATGTTTTCTTCCTTTTTCAAGTAGATCTTCTCCCATCTGGGGGCTTCCAAGCCCTTCAGCTGTCAATAAATTGTTCGACTGAAGGTAAAAACTGGACTCTACCGTGTTGTATGAGCATCATTTTTCAATTGTAGTGCTTACGTTTTTGCGCGCATAGTAAAGTTGGCAAATATAACCACGAATTTGTCACGTGAGTGGGAGCATCTACTAGGTAGCGAAGACTGAAATGGTCAGAAATTTGGAGACGAGGTTTCGGCAAAAATTCAGCATGAGATGCATGTTCGGATCACCCCCACTATTTGCTTCATTTACGGAGCGATTTTGTTGGCTCTACTTTAGTGGCTGTAGCCACTTAATATGATAACGTTTGGGGGCTGCGAAATTCTCCGAAATTGCATTTACACACAAATCTATGGACAGTCTTCCTCCTGTCCTGATGAGTCCAAATCACATAGAAGAAGCAATGGACCCGACTTTTACTCTTATTAGATTTTATCAGAAGCGCTTATAGTTGATTTGAATTCCGGTCACCTGACATGCGAGGCGAGTCTGTTACCCTTACTATGTTATCGTGAGATTCAGCCAATGGGTGAACAGTTTACAGGATTGGCGCACGGCGCAACACATTTATTGAGCGACTTTGGTGAAAACGAAGTGAGTGAACGCGCTAGCGTCAACTGGCCGGTAAAACCAGTCATGGGTGTTAAGTTCCATCTTGTTTGCACTTAAAATTAGTGAAGACAACTTCAAATAAAGGAAACGTTTTTTGGATTCCTGACGATTCGCGTGGTAACAGGTTGCAGGATGGAATTGGAGAAAGCTAGTGTAGTTCTGTTCTTGTCATAGGAATACTGCATGCATCATTTCAGGCAGTTTACTCCACGGGTGAATCACCGCAAAGATAGCTTAAGACGGCTCACTTATGGATGTACACCAAACGCATAGTTCGGAACGTGAACCATAACGGTGCACCCATTTTTGGTCTAATGAAGCGATCTGTTAGAATCACCGCAAAGATAGCTTAAGACGGCCCACTTATGGATGTACACTAAGCGCATAGTTCGGAACGTGAAACATAATGGTGCACCCATTAGTGGTCTGATGAAGCGATCTGTCCTATTGATCGGCTGGGAAGAGTCGGCTTCTACTAATGTATCCGGTAGTCATTATTCATAGAAGGGAACTGTTGCGTAGCGAATATCACCGCCAAACAACTAACTTTTGTCCTTTCTGTTTTCCAACGGGCGCCCTTCTTAGGTACTGCGTTCATATACATTACCTGAGGACCTGAGGACATGTTCGTTAGAGAGGGACGATTAGAGAATCGCCCTTTTCTGTAATGTGACTGCACCGTGGTATTCAAGTGGTATCAAACTGATCTGAATGAAAAAAAACAACCACTGTGTGAGAAGATTCAACGTTACCTGTTGCCTTGCTGAAGCCGAAGTATATGCACGCATTCAAGTGAATAAGTACCATGATGTTCATCGTCAAATTGGAAATACGGAATATGTTTGGACGGTTGGTTCGCGTTTCGGTTCGATCAACAAATTCAAAAAAACGATAGATTTTAAAAAGTCGGTTTAGTCGCACCCAGGCTGCATAGTGGTGTAGAGATGGTACGAGGTAGAGTAGGTCAGTAGGGATAATTGCAAGCATGTCCCAGATGAAATCACGCCGCTTGATGTAAGCTTTGCGCAGCTGCATCACATCGCGTACAAGCAGGCCCTGATCAAGGTAGCCTACACAAATAAAAGAATTAGAAAGATAGTCAGTCGTGGGGAATATTTACATGGGAAACACTATTTCAGAGTGATCGACCAACGATGCTGATCAGATGTACTGTTGATACAGCATGCTAACAGAGTAATGTGAGTAGACTGGTATAGATGAAGAAATTAGATGTATAAACGGCTGTAAACTGCCGTGCAAACAACTTTTTTACACGACATCATTTAGTTGAACGTGGAAAGGATGGAATAATGACAAAAGTCTGCGACTTTTCATTTGGTCTAAGACAGGCAAACATACGTAATCATCATAATTATCGGTATCTTGGTGGAGGGTGATCACATTAGGTATATGACGATTATAATTACAGATAAAACATGTTAAACTCTGCGAAAGGAGCTAGTACGAACGCAAAACGTGAATACAGAGTATTGTCTCTGGATGTTGTCTTTGAAAAACCACTCAGGCTCAGTTGTTCACTGTATGTTGAAATACTGTTAGCTCGGGTGAATTATTGATCCGATAGCTGTACACCTTTTTCTTTGAACTTGGCAGTTAACGTCCAGGTTTTCGCCGCCGAACGGGGAGACAGTTCGTTCACCTCTTGCGTGCACAAATGTGTGAAACTTTCACAATGACCTCATAGAAGTATAGGCTGTACAGTAGTTTAATCAGCAAAAATGTACGGATGGCTCATTTTCAGCAATATACTTCATTGCCTCCAGAATTTGAACCGTGATACTATTTGTTCGGAGGCCAGCCGTCCCTAATAACCGAACATCACATCATTTGGACATCATTTGGACGTGCAGGACACGGACCAAACGAAGGCATGCCCTGATTAGCTAGAATGCCAGCCAATCCGGATCGAGCATCTCTGACTCGACGCTTCTCGCCCCATCACGGAGATTCTAGCACGACCTTGGGGAACACCCCGTGATTACCCTATAAATACAGCTGTAATAATTTTCCTTTTGTCTCCATGAAAGGCTGTGTAGAGCTACCGTGCTTTTTGATATATCATAGTGGGCGGAGCAGGAAGCCAATGGACCGATACAGAGTTGCACTACCGTTCAGCAAGATACAACACCATTCCACCAATGTAGTGCAGAATCCTCGGTCTCGTAACACCCCCTTGGTTTCAGAACAGCTCAAAATATCTTCTTTTTTTCATGTAACAAACTGTAGGCTAATAGGTTGATGAACTGCTGCCATAATTCCTCATTTTTGTATTCCAAAAGGACAGTCCGTAATTCGACCTGGTCAAAAGGGCTGACTCACAAACGGAACGATGGAGCTATGCACATTTTACCACTCGAATTTGATCAGTAATGTGAGGAGATTTCGCCCTGTCGCTGGAGCTAGTCTGTGCGTGAAATCCGAGCAACACTGTGCAGATGTTTTGTTCTTATTGGGAACCACCGGTAGTACAAATCTCACCAAACTCCAAAGGGTTTCGAACACGCGATCTCCAGGCTAGGACTGTGAACACTTAATCATTCGGCCGCAAGTGACCGATGAGCAGTGTGCTTAACTCGCACTTAGGATATGGGGCCACCAATCCTTTAGTCGCAGTCGCAGAGTCTACATGACGTGTCAAGTGCTGACGCGCTTCTTTAGTGGTTTTCTTCGTCTTGTGCATATATTTTTCTTCTGAGCTACTCAGAGATATTAGTAGCATGATATCTTCGACGCATTGTCCTGTCATTTAAGCTGTGGAAGACTGTTCACTTCTTTGTGGTTAGTTCATCCTGCAAGTGAAGCCAATCTATGCTGAAGAGCCGAGAAGCACTGTACAGCTGTTTCATCCTTATTGGGAATCATCAGCAGTGCGCATCTCATGAAACGTCTATTTGAGAAGTCGTTGCTCGAGGAGCCAGTCAGCATGTGGGAGCACGTGATGTGGATCCCGTGATTGAAGGATGAGCGGCGCTATATCCTGTCTAAGTGAGAGTTAATCACGCTGCTGATCAGCCACTCGTGGTCGAACGGCTAAGTGTTCAAACTACTAACCGGGAGGTCTCGGGTTCGAGACTCTTCGGAGTTTCGTGAGATGCGCACAGCTGAAGATTCCCAATAAGGGTGAAACAGCT